ATCAATTTTGTTATTCTTCTAGGTTTCTTCCGTCATGTCTGCAGCCAAGATTTTCAGGAGGTCTCCCATGGTCAAATCTAATTTTTATTAACTTTGAAGGAATCTATCCATAGCTTTTTGTTTCCTGTGGAGACAAATGCATAGCCTCTTCCCCAATGCAACACAATTCCTGATTTCCATTCTGAGGTTAACCCATTCTTAAAGTATATAGGTTGATTTAATTCAGAAGTCCTCTCTAAAATCTAGTATTTTTCAGCAGCTATGCAACCTGTCTCACAGACATTTAAAAAATTTAAAGTTAATAAATCATTATATAATCTATCTCTGAGAGCTCTCATATCCCCCTTCTGTTTTTAATGAGCATTTCATTTAAAGTGTGGTTAGGTCTTTCCACAACTGCTTGACTTGTAGGACTGTAAGTATGCTTGCAACATGTTTATGTTACATTTTTTAAATTGTTGCATTTTACTGGATACATATGCTGGAGCATTATCAGTTTTAATTTGTAAAGGTATCCCTGAGGTAGTCATCACTCTAATAAATGTGTAATTACAATATCAACCTTTTCAGAACTCAAGGCAGAAGCCCATTGGAATCCTAACTAGGTATCAAAAGTATGATGCACATACTTTAATTTTCCAAACTCTGCAAAATGCCAAATTTCATTTCTTTGGGTACCTTTAGGGTTACTTCTGGAAGTTAATTGACCTTGATTATATAAAGAACAAGTGGGACTTTTTTAAAAATTTCCTTTGCTTGTCACCAGGTTATAGAAAAAATTTTCAAGCTTCTATTTTCAAGCTTCCATGCCTTTTATGAAAATATGAAGCATTTATTTATTTGTTTATTTGTTTGAGACAGGGGTTCTCTGTGTAGCCTTGGCTGTCCTGGACTAGCTTTGTAGACCAGACTGGCCTCAAACTCACAGAAATCCTCCTGTCTTTGCCTCCCCAAGTGTTGGGATTACAAGCATGCGCCACCATGCCCAGCTCAGGCATTAATTTTTTTAGTTACTCTCTTTAACAGTCTCTACTTGGCTGACAGGGAATGACTGGCTCATGTTGTTGGGGTTTTTTGGGGGGAGGAAGGGAGAGGGTGGTCTGAACAAAGCCCCCTAGGCATTTTCCCAATAGTAAGGAACTGCCTCATATATCTGTGTCTGCTCTTTCTAAATCTTTTACATATCTCAGGAAGCTTTCTTCCTGGATTATCATTAGCGAGAATATTATCCTTAGAAACTGTTTATCTACAGTCTTTTATGAAATGACCTGGTCCACAGCCAAAGCATCAGACATTTTGCGCTCTCACACTTTTAGGAATTGCCTGTCTTATCATAGCAGTATTGAAAGCATCAGATCCAAAATCCACAGTAATTTTAATGGCTTCATAAATAGTTGCTAATCTTGCTTTTAAAGGTCTAATAGCCTCTTTGCATTCCGTATTAGCATTCTCAAAAGCTAAAGACTCAATTAGTACCTCTATTGAATCTGGATCTGATAGTGCTCTATTTACAGCTGAAGTTAATTTTTGTAAAAAAAAAAAAAAAAAAAAAAAAAAATCAGTAAAAGATTCATCTGAACATTGGGTTGTAATGGAAGTTTTGGTTTCTTTGCATGTTATGTAAATATGTTTTTGTTTTAATCCCAAGTATGGGATTTTAGGTGGGCTATAGTTTGTCCACACCTGTCAATTGTCACCTGCAGGGCATGATCTCTGCCAGCTGTTAGCAACCTTCTATGTGTTACACAGAGAAGGGTGTCGTCTAGGACTCTGAGAGTATAAATATGAGGTCAAGAAACAGACAGTGTGGTGTTCAGTGGAGTTCACTGTGGTAGTCAGTGTTGGCGAATGATGTGGAGCAGTTTGGAGAGATCAGAGACCAGAGACAGTGTGGCAGTTTGGAGTAGACAGACAGACAGAAACGCTTTGGGTGCAGCGCTGTGGAGGAGCCTGCTAGCCTGCTAGTTGACAGAGATTGGTATAGAGCCCTAAAAGAACCCCTTGACCTTAACTAGCCAGAAGTAAAGGAGTCTGGGCCCCCTCTACTCACTTTTTTCTCTCTCCTACTTAAGGTTAGGGGTTGGTGGAAGGGAGGTGGAGGCCTAAACACCCCAAATAAAGGAGAGTTTAAAAAAAGACTGCTACAGATGGCTCTCCACTACACTGGGTTATCCTGGTAAATGATGCAGATCATCTTCCCTGTTGTTTAACTTTGTCCTAAACATTTAAAGCCACTGTACAAAATTGCTCTAAGATGGCGTCATCAAACAGAATCTGTGTTTGTAACTTAGCACACTGATGCTTGACAATATCACCTCTAGTCCTATTACATTTATCCATAGCTGAAGCCTCCTCTCTCCACCAGGTCAGCCATGTAGCTGAGCTTCCAAAACAGTTGCCACTAAATCTTTCCAATCCTTTTGATTATAAAATTTTGTGTCACCCAGTCACTTCATACCCGTTTTACATAGAATGAGTACATTCCATATGCTACCACTACTTCTTCTACTATCTCTGTGGTTTGCCGTCCAAATTCATCATAACCTTATAGGTCTCTCTCATCTAGGAGTCCTATAGGAACTGAAAAAGCTATTGTGGGCTTTCTAATAGGCTTGAACGGCCATCCTGCAGTCTCGTCATACGGTGGCGCTGCGGGCTTTAGATTGTATTCTTCTGACCTGACTGGAGAGAATTTTTTATTCTGAGTTAAAAGATCCTCTAATTTCTGTTCTACCTCTTGTAACCTAGAATTACACCTCTCAGTCATCTCCTTATCTAAGTCTACTTCCTGTGAATTCCAGGGAGAAGGACAAGGATATTTTTCTCATTTTTTCTTTCTTAGAGAGGCACTAAACCTTATGAACTTTCTATGCCCATCTCAGCTCTAACTAATGACATGGAGACTTGTATTTATGTATAACAGCTTTAGGCCTTACCTTACTCTTGTTCCCAACTAGCTCTTATAACCCATGTTAACCCATCTACATCTATGTTCTGCCACCTGGTTCATTACCTCTCCTCAGTTTCATATGTCTGACTTCCTCCCACCTCTGATTCTTTCCCAGAGTTCCTATATCTGGATGTTCTGCCTCTCTCTCCTGCCTTTGCCATTGGCCATTTAGCTCTTTATTAGATGAATCGGAAGGTGATGGACGTTTGTTTACAAAACACTGAGACAAGTGTTAACAATACCAAAGTCTGGACTGTACTTAGCTCTCTGCTGTAAGGAAATCAGCATTTGAATATACAAAGACAGTCTTTACACAGTGCACAAAAAGATCACTCCCAAGAGGGCACAGAAAACTACAATCGTTATAAACCTATTTGATTTAGCTCCATGCTGACAACTAAAACAAAAGTATAAAGGGCCCAGGTGCCCTCTGCTATAGTGTTTTTCATTTTTTAACAATGAAAATATTTTCTTTTTTAATCATGCTGTTTCTCCTTCCTTTGGAGGTTTCACTTTATTATATTAAAACTTAATATTTTTTCTTTCTATGACTGTCTATACTCAGTTTCTTTCCTTTCTTAAGTGTCTATGCACATTTACAAAACATTTCTACATTTCTCTTTTTCTGCTTCCAAACTTACTGTTTCAGCACTTACGTGTCCCTAAACTCTCCTCTGAGGACGGCCCATTCTGAGCATACATTACTGACTCTAAGGCCATGTCTCCAACCCACGTTTGTGTGTCTGGGGTGACCTCGTGCGTGGATTCTCTTGTCCAGGTCTCATGTCTCGAACTCATGACCTTAACGTGAATCTCGGGCCTTCCACTGGTGCGCCAAATATTGCGGGTGTAGTCCCTAAGTGGTGTGCCACAGGGACGGCCAGCATCTCATCCCATGAGGTACTGCCAGGGCTGTCAAGATGGCTGCACCTTCTTCTCCAGCCTCAGGCTGCAGCCGCTGCCATAAAATATCAACCCAGGAATTGCCACAGTGACAGTACCTCCTCTCCAGCCTCCCTGAGCCGCTCCGCAGTGATGGAGCGTCAGCCAAAGCCTCCTGCAGCCAGGAAAGTGTTCCTGGCTTGGAAAAAAAAAAAAAAAAAAGAGGTGAAATCCCCTGAGCAAGAAAACCCACCAATCCCTGAGCTTCCCACAAAACTCCACCAACCCCTGAACAAGAAAACCCTAAAACACGAGCTTCAGGACTTGAAATCCCACCAATCCTTTCCCTGGAAATCTCCGTTCTGGAAAGCTCCGCCCCTAAAAAAAAATCCTCTGTAAGCCCTGCATACTTCTCAGTCTGCTGCTGCTTCCCCGCTATCAGGGGTAGCCGCTACTGCATTTTTCCCTCCCAGAGAGTCTCCTATGTGGGGTTTACTGTGCCTTGTGATTTCTCAGAGCCGTAACACTTTCCCTGGAGCAGAGCGGATCAGAAGAACTGTTACACTCTCGTTACACTTTGGCCGCTGCGGAGCTGCAACACTTGTGTAGAGGAAGCCTTCCCCTCAGAGCTGCAGCACTTCCTCGGATCCTGCCTGACGTTTAATTAAGACACAGAAGCGTCTCTACACCCTAAGGAAGCGGGTGTTTTGCTGGGGCCTTCTCTCAGCTAGCTATCTAAACTTATCCAGACGTCTCCCCTATCGCAGCCCTCCGGCTCAGTCCCCCCAGTCTGTTTTGCCGGCCTACAGCCCTGCCTTCCCAAAAGACCCGCCCCCGTACTTCCTGCCCCAGCTCCTGGCCTCGGCTCTTTCACTACACAACCGTATTCCAGTCTGAGCCAATCAGCAGCAAGACAACACTCCGCCCATCTCTTAGGCTCGCCTTTTGGCACTGGGGCCTCCTCGCGCCCGCCGCCAAGAGACTGAACCCGACTCATTCATCGGGGAGGCGCAGCGCATGCTGGGTCTTGTAATCCCCGGAGGAAAGCCACCGGATGCATGCTGGGACTGGTAGTCTGTTGCCCTGGCTCTCGCCTCACCTGGCCAGGGCGGGTGCACCGCGGCCAATGGGAGACTTGCCGGCCGGCCTGCCCCGCCCCGCGCCTCGGGACGTCTGTGCCTGGACATGGCCGCTGCCGATGCCGGGTCCTTGAGCTGAGCGCCCGCTGCGGAGCTAATCGCCGCCGTCAACTGTCCGGGCGGGCCGGGCCCAGGCACCGGGACGGCGAAGAGCCACCGAGGAAGCGCAGGCCGCCGTAGGAAGCCGCCGCGGCGGGCACATGGCGTCCATCTTGCTCAGGAGCTGCCGCGGCCGGGGCCCTGCTCGCCTCGCGCGTCCCCGGGCCGCCTCCCCGCGCGGTAAGCGGGCGCAGTGCATCGGACCTGTTGTGGGCGGCCACGCGCCCGCGCGGTACCCTCTGGTGCCCCGAGGCAGCGCAGCGATGACAATCAGCCGGCGGCTCTGTGCCGCCTGGACTGGACAGCTTCGCTGTGACCTTAGTTGCCCTGGTCGCCGCAGGTCACCGCTACCGACAGGGGCATTGGGAAAGTTCCTTAGGGCTGTGGCTTTCCTGGCGCTCCCCTTGACGAACCGAGCCTGGGCTTGCCCTTTGGCCAGTTCAGGCCTGGAAGCCGGAACTACGGGGCAGAGAGATTGGGTGATGCCAACATGGTGGGCCGCTCCCTGGGGTGGGGTGGCCGCTGACTGGGCTTCCTAAGGAAACTTGTATGTGTCCTGTTTGTAAGTTACGGTAAGGATGAAACTTGGTCCGTGAGAGAGAATGGAAACCAAGACCTCATGATTCCTTGGCAGAAACACAGGGAAATGATACATGAATGTCTTTATTGCTGCTCTCACTGCTTGGGAGGATTGGGGCAGAGTCACCTACCGCCTTGCTGGCCCCTGCTGTTGCCTAAAATCTACATGGGGTCACGTCGCCACTGTTGAGAACGGTGCAGGAAGCCTGTTCTGCACTTCCTTCCTGCCTCACACAGGCAACAGTGGTGTGAATAAACTCTCAACTTAATGCCTTAGGAGAATTAAAGTGGATTAGGGAAAGCATTGAAAGTGTAATTTCATCACTACTGTTTTTCCAGAAATGGCTTTAATTTTTTTTCTTTAATTACATTTATTGTTTGTGTGTGTGCATGTGTGCGTGCTCATGTGTACATGTATGCCCGACATGCCACAGCATGCTTATGGAGTTCAGAAGACAACCTGTTAGGAGTTATTCCATCCACTGTGTAGGCCCTGGAATTGAACTTAGGTCTTGGTGGCAAGTGTTTTTATCCACTGAGCCATCTTGCCTGCCTTGTAGGGGCTTCTTGTCATTTGTCAGTAGTTCTCAGCCCTTGTCCCTGGAATTTTTTTTTTTTTTTTTTGACCTGTAGCTATCTGTTTGCTAGGAGTCAGTGTGCCCTTCCTCCTGCCTACTAACACTAATAGCTAGTTGGAAGGAGTCCCACACTGGGAAAAGCCCAGAGGCCTTTAGTGTTCCCTTACTGGGGCTTAGCCTGAGAGCCAGTTTCCAAGCTGGGGAGATCAGATGCTCTGTTCAACCATGGTCCTCCATCATTCACGGTAGTCCCCCAGAAATTTGCCGGTAGGGGTTCCATTCAGACCTTCAAAAGATGCCCGGTTGATACCTGTTTGCTTACCTTTTCTTTATTTCTGTCATAGGCAGTCTGAGGGATCGAGCCTGTGTCAGCTGTATCCGGACCGTGGGGTTGATAAGCCATGAGTAAGTAAACCCATCACTGAATATGTCACTGTGTATGTCCGCTTGAAGATGCTGCCCGTGCACCTGGACTTCCGCTTAGTTGGGAACCGATGGCCTCTTTCTCCTTATAGTCCTTGTTCCTGTTTCTTTTAGGTCTTCATTTGTTTACTTTGATGGTTATAGCCATATGCTGTTGGTGAATTTTAAGAGAATAAGTACTCAATCCCAGCACCAGTTAGGCACAGCCACTGTGGTGTACTTCACTTTGGGTTGTTGTTTTTGTCTCGTGGTTTGTTTTTTTTTGTTTTTGTTTTGTGAGACAGGGTCTCTGTAGAATATGTAGCTTAGGCTGGCCTTGAGTTTTTTATAACCCTCCTGCTTAGCCTTCCATTTACTGGAATTACACAGTGCTCCAACATGGCCAGCCTGACATTTTTAATTCCGTGGCTGGTTTTTGGTGTGGTTGTTATCACTATAGTTTTGTCTACTCTGAATGACTAATCTTCCCCTGCTTACATAGCTGTCTTCTTTAATGGCTTTCCGTAGAATCTTGTCTAATTCTTTTAAGCTGTTCATGCCAGCGTTAGGACTGTTGGGATCTGTCTGTGACAAGGCAGACCTTTCCTTGAAAACTTAGCTCTTTCAAGGGTGCCTGCCTCAGGTGCTCACAGCATGCTCCGCACCGCACTCTGGAGGCCTGGTGAGTTTGGTGTATTTAGCCTACAGGATAACAGTGCCTATGAGATGGTGGTAGCGTCTCAGATGAGGCTTTGGTGGCACTGCAAGGCCAGTCTTGTGGAGCTTCTTGAAGAAAGTGGCACCTGTACTCTGTTGTATGTAGACTTTGCCCGGAGTTGCTGTGCTTTTTGAACCATGTCCTGCACCCCGTGTCTCTGCCTCAGCCCTGTCTTACTGTAGAGGTGGGGCCAGGAGAAAGCCCTTGCTGTCACTTCAGATTGTTGAAAGGGAGCTCATCTCTTCCCACTTCCCTGTCCCTGTCCCTTCCTCTGGGGAGCAGGAAACCAGTGCTGCTTTCTGTGCACCTTCCTGTCTCTTCAGCTCCTTGTCTCTGCAGGGTTTTGTGTTCACTTAAACCTGTTGACTAATTGCTCAGCTCTGAAACATAACTAGTGGTGCTTCTTGAGACAGATTTAAGTCCCTAAAATAAAGACAAGTCATCTGTGAAGACTTGGTTTCTGTTAAAGCACCCTGGGCTTGATTCCTTTTGTAGAGTGCTGGGGATGAACAGGAAGGCCTGCAGGCTTCTTGGACAAGGCAGCATTTCTGTGGCTGAATGGCCACTGCACACACGGAGAGAGTTCTTGTGTGTGGCTCCCACCATGTGCCTGTTGGCTGTGACGTCCATGTGAATTTCTTTTTGGATAGTCTCAAGACCACTGTCATGGAATCTTCTTTGTGCCAGTAACAGCATTAATTTCTGTGTGCAGAGGATGGGGTGGGGAGAACAGAGGTCTTTGTCTTTCACTCTTTTTTGTTTGTTTTTCAGAACAGTTTCTCTGTGTAGCCCTGGCTGTCCTAGAACTCCTTTTATAGATCAGGTTGTCCTTGAATTCACAGAGATCTGCCTGCCTCTGCAGAGGCTTTGTCTTCTGAGTCCTGGGATTAAAGACGATTAGGCCACCATGCCTAGTTTAGCTTCTTTTGCTCTTCCTAAAGTGTGCTGTTAAGCTAGTGGGGCCTGGTAGACCCTGCTTTGAGGGTCAGGAGAAGTTAGAATAGGATTTGGTGTGAAGTCTCTGGTTGGGTTTTTTTCAAGGAGTCTCTGGTTTTAAAGTGCCAACATTAAATGAAGATCAGTGAAGTGCTCTGTGGGCTCCTTCATAAGTTTTCCTTCATAAGTCCATGAAGGTGTGGTATGTAGGGACTATGATTTATTACTGAACTAGCCTACTGGTAATCCTTGCTGTGGGGCAGTACAAATGGCTAGTAGTGAGATCCACCATCTGCCATTTTCCTTACTAAGTTCTCTAGTTGGCACTTGCAAAGGGACCAGTTCCCCAGCCTTATTCTCTAAGAGTTTGAGTGTCCTAGATAACCTCATTAGTTCTTCCAGTCTTCACCTTTGTGAAGTTGTGACTGAAATGCTATCAAACTGCTTGAGATTGGCAGCTTTTTGTTTTGTCTTGTGGAATTAGGAATAGAACCTAAAGCTTTAGGTTTGTAGCAACATTTTGTTTTGTTTTTTAAAACAGAATGTCCTATAGTGAAGACTGGTCTTTAACTCTTGATCCTGCCGCCCCATCTTCCAAGATTTATGGCTTAAGAGTAGGGATGGTAGCCAGCAGTGGTGGCACACGCCTTTAATTCCAGCAGAGGCAGGCAGATCTCAATGAGTTCAAAGGCAGCCTGATCTACATAATGAGTTCCAGGCCAGCCAGAGCTACACAGTCAGACCTTGTCTCACCCAACTCTCTCCACGCCTGCAACACACACACATACAAGACTTTTTCCTTTTCTTTCAGAAAAAGTGGTGTCATTTCTGTTAGGTCATAAGCTTGGCCTTTAAGGCAGTTCTCAGGTATATTCTGCCCTCGCCATCCTTCTCTGCTCTCTTGCTGAGCGCTTGCTGCTGCCAGTCTGTATGAAAATAGTCTAGGGTCTGGCCACTTCGCATCACATATTTGCTTCCTGCTCAGCCCACATGGCAGCACAGGTTCAGGTTATAGCTGGAATATTGTTGGCACCAGCAGTACCCATCTCTCCTGACATAGTGCCTGTATCTCTGTAATTTCAAGGCCTGCCTCAGCAGCAAGCTCTGCCACAGGCCGGTTTCAGTCAGCGACACAGCATGGCAGCCTCAGAGCCAACTTAGCAGGGCTCATCATGCTGAAGGCTAGCCTTGAGGTTTCATGCCTGTCTACCTGGGAGCCCATTCTTATTAAAGTGTTCTCACTAGGAATATATGTTAGACTTGTCAAGTACCTTTTTAGCATTTAAGATTCATATTAAATTATAAAGAGCTGTGCTTTATTAATTAAAAATGTTTTTATTTTCAGTGCTGGGAGTCAAAACCAGGGCCTTGTACTGCTAGACAGGTGCTCTGCATCCTCAGGCCTTGTTTGGTGTGAGACATTCTCACTGTGTAATGCAGGTTAGTCCCAAATTCAACTCTGCCTTCCAGTGCTGGCATTATAGACATGTACCGCCAAGCCCAGTTTAGCTTTTTGTTAACCATGTTGGACATTTGCTTCAAAAGGTAACAGTAATAACTGTGGAGTTCTGTTGAGCAACTTACACATTTTAAGTCAACACTTACGGATAAGCAGCAAAAACTTTCATTTTAGCTATTCAGGATAAGAAATCTTGTGTGCATGCATATGGTATATGTGTGTAAGCACATGTATGTGCTTGTGAAAGCCCCAGATTAACATGGAATATCTTCCTTGATCACTCCTCACCTTATTTTGAAAACAGGATTTACTGATTTTGCTAGGCCAGCTGTCCATTGAGCACTACTGATCTGCCTGTACCACCTCCTTGTACCGGGATTACAGGCGCACACCTCTGTGCCCAGCTTTTGACGTGGGTGCTGGGGATCCAAATTCAGGTGCTCATTCATACGTGCACAGCGAGTACTTTGCCATCTGAGCAACCTCTCTAGCACATGTGAGAACTCTTGAATCTTGGGGCTGGAGAGGTGGCTCACTGGTTAAGGTACTTGCTGTTCTTACAGGGAAGCCAGGTTTGATTCCCACACAACCATCTGTAACTCCGTAGCGTGGGATCCAGTTCCTTCCTTTGTCTCCCATGGTCACCCGACATGCACATGATGCATAAACATACATGCAAGCAAAATACCACACAAAAATAAGTCTTAAAAAGAATGATGACCATAGCAACTCAGTATCCAAGTGGGTTCCCTAGTAAGGGGAACAGGTACTGTCTCTGACATGAACTCAGTGGCTGGCTCTTTGACCACCTCCCCCTGAGGGGGAAGCAGCCTTACCAGGTCACAGAAGACTATGCAGCCACTCCAGATGAGACCTGATAGACTAGGATTAGATGAATGAGGAGGAGAACCTCTCCTATTAATGGACTTGGGGAAGGGCATGGGAGAAGATTAGGGAGGGGGCTACAGCTTGGATACAAAGTTAATAAACTATAATTAATAAAACAATTAAAAAAAAAGAATGTTGAGGAGCTAGAGAGGTGGCTCAGTAGTTAAGAGCACTGACTGTTCTTCCAGAGGACCTGGGTTCAAATCCCAGCACCCATTTGGCATTTCACAACTGTCTGTAACTCCAAAGATCAAGATCTGACACCCTCACAGATACACATGCATGCAAAACACCAGTGCACATAAAAATGAAAATAAATAATAAAAAAAAAAGAATGTTGAGTTTAAGATAACCCTAAGAAATGTTCTGATTTTGTTTTTTTAAAAAGAAAGAAATCTTAAGTCCTGGAGGTGACTTGTAATGGATAGGCACACGTTGGTATTCATTCATTGTGTTTATTGTTTTGTTTTTTGAGACAAATCTCTTATTTGTAGCCCTGGCCATCTTGGAACTCACTATGTAGACCAGGCTGGCCTCAAATTCAGAGAGATCCACCCTCTTCTGCCTCCTGGGTGCTAAGATTAAAGTAGTGCACCTCTATGCCTGGCTGGCTATATAAATAAATATATATAATATACGTACAACATATCTATGAGTGTGAGTGTTCATAGGCTGTGGTGTATATGGGAGTCAGAGAACCACTTGGGAGTTGGTTCTTTTCTTCTGCTTTATGGGTCCCAGGGATTGAACTCAGGTCCCCAGGTGTAGTGCAAGTGCCTTTACCCATTGAGCCTTCTTGCTAGCTCCCAGTTTTGGTTCTTCAGCAACCAACTGTGTGTGTGTATATGAAAGAGAGAGAGAATGTACATACATGTTAAAGTGCAGGTTTAGTTTGGTGGGATTTGGATCTTTCATCATGTGGATCTGAGCGATGAACTTAGGTCATCAGACTTAGTAACAAGTGCCTATCTATCTTAGTAACAAGTGAGCCATCTGGCCAGG